CAGATACTGCACAAGTTTTAGTTACCAGAGTCTTCGTGCAGACTGTAAGCTGTATTTATGCATTGCCATCTGTAACTTTGGCTAGCCTTGACAATCCCTGTGGTGATGCCATTCTTTCAGTGAAGTTGTGGTATACCTAAAAACTGAATGAATTCAGGTGTTCTGGTGTAGGTGTAGTGGGTCAATTTGGTTTTTGTCCAGTTGTTAGTAGCTAAACTCTGTTAGGAAATACTTAGAACACCTCCAATATGATATATTCTTTGAAAAACCTAACTTGCAGAACCTACCTCTTGTGTGTTGAATCCAACAGGAAGATAGTTGTGGAGATCCCAGTGCTGGTGTCCTTGCTGTGCTAATCACCCTGCAATTTGCAGACCTCTTCACAGAATCACAGAATGATACGGGGTTGGAAGGGACCTCTGGAGATCATCTAGTCCAACCCCCTGCCAAAGCAGGGCCACCCACAGCAGGTCCCACAGGAAGGTATCCAGGCAGGGTTTGAATGTCTCCAGAGAAGGAGACTCCACCACCTCCCTGGGCAGCCTCTGCCAGGGCTCTGCCACCCTCACAGGAATGAAGTTCCTCCTCATGTTTAGGTGAAACTTCTTATACTCAAGTTTGTGCCCATTTCCTCTTGTCCTATCCCTGGGCCCCACTGAAAAAAGACTGGTCCCATCCTCTTGACACCCCCCCTTGAAGTATTTATAGGTGTTGATCAGCCTCTCCTTATAAGAGAGATGCTCCAGCCCCCTTGTTGGCTCTTTTTTCTTTTTTTTTTTTGTTCTTCTGAAGAATGCACAAAACATCAGTCTTATTTGTCGAAGACTAGAGCAGACAAGGAGAGCTTGCCTCTCCCATGAAGGGAACCTGAGCCTGGGTCTGTCTTGCAGAAGGCATCTGCCCTGCGGGGCGCAGTGCTTGATGCGTGGCATTGCAGGGCTCATGCCCATGCTTTAGAATGGACTGATGGTGTAAAAGTCCTTTGCCTCACTCCAAAAAAGGTCTTTGGTATGAACTAACCAATGTGGGTGCGGGCCATCAGGGGAAGGGGAGAGACCAGGAGTAAACCTGGGATGTCAGGATGGAGGTGCACCCAGTTTTTGCCTGCAGCAACACTGGCAGGGCATGTCCCTGGGCTGCCATCGGGTGAATACCTGTGGTCTGGGTGTGTTTCCTCCCTGTTGTGTGCAATGAGTATGGATGTATCTCAGGAAGGACTAAATCAGTTGGCAGTCTGTAGCTCACTTGTGTTTTGCTATACCTGTTCTGCTTGAATGAAGACTTGGCTTGTGCTGAGAGGTTGCTACGGGGCTTCACCACAGAGTCATCACAGCAGGGCACAGGGGGACATCAAGGTGCTCTTGGTTTGAGGGTCCTTGCTTTGAGTCTCAGGGAGCTGCTGGCAAAGGAGTCCAGGAGGAACGTGCAGCCAGTTGTGTTTGGTAGGGAACAGACTTGCCTTGGTGTTAGGCTGCCCTATGGCAACTAGAGGTGGAGAGGAAAGGAGGTTTCTCCAACTCTTGTCTCTTACACCAGGTTCAAGCAGCCAGCTGGACATGGATCAGAGGGGAATTTGCCGTAGTCGGGTGGATGGAAATCTTAACCCAAGACACAACTGTGATTGATCTTTTCTAGTGAGGAAACCATATAATTGAGCTGTAGATATGTGGAATGCAGGCATGCAAATGGATTTAGTCCAAGACTGGCTGTTAGGACCCAACCTCAGGGGAGGTAACTGCAGAAACGGACTTGCATGAGTGGTTAGTGGTGATGACATGATACGAGGCAGTCTCTTCTCCAGCAATGCAAAACTCCTAGAAACCTAGAAACTCCTAGAAATGTTGTGTTCTCTACTAAGGAGTCTCTGTTGTTGACCAAGGTTAGGCTCCAAAGTGGAGACATATCACACAATATAAGAGGAGTCATAGCAGAGGATTCAAAGCAAAAACTCCTCTGTGTCCCTTTGCATTCTGCAATTTTAAGAAATTATGGCCATAAAAAGAAAGAGTTTCTGTCAAAGTGTCCTGCCATCCAGTATGCAGTTTGGATGTTTACAGCTGGGTGTGGAGTTGCTAACGTAAAGTTAAATCTGCCTGGAGTTTTGATCTAGATAAATTGTAGAAACAGTGAAGAACTAATATGTGTCTTGGTTGGAGAAAATAACATAACTCCAGATAAAATGTAGGGCAGGTTTTGAGTCCTGTGGATGCTAAGACTTGGGTGCACAATAAAATCTGAGGATCAGATGCTGACCCATTCTTCCTTAAATTTTATCCATCTTCTCAGTGAGCAGCTGCATTAATGAAAGATGGATTCCCATGGCTTTGTGCGTGCAGTTAGATTCATTGGTCTCTAACAAGGCACAGACATTGATTCAATATTTTTCTTCAGTTGGAGTAGGATACACACATACATATTCAGTGCTGAGTGTGGATGAGTAAGCCTTATTTGCTTAAGAAACAAAGAAGTCAATTAAGCAAAGGAAAATTTGCGGGGACAAAGGAAAACATATTCTAATATGTGGTCAAGTTTCTAGTACATATGCTGTATATCTGATCTACTTACCAATACTAGTATCTACCAATTTTAGGGGATTTTTTTCTAACATTATGAGATCTTTTTTTTTTAAACCATCAATAGTTTGGCTTTGTTTTGTTCCCTCCCATGTTTCTGGTGGATTTGGTAAGTTTAGTGAATGCCTTATCAAGGATTTTTAGAGGGTGTAAAGGGTTGGCAAGGTAGGGTGCCGGCCCACCCAGCACCCCTGGCAGATTTAAACCAGTTGTAATCATGCTAATGGTCATTCATCGAGGAGACCAGCCTCTGGTGTGATAAAATCTGCACTGGGGAAGGGAATCGTGGCAAAAAAGGGTCAGCAAGAAGCTCTTTGTGAGGCTTTTTGGAAGCCAGGCAGAGTGGCTGACCTGTGCTGGGAGCCGGTGGCCTCGGTGCCTCAAAGCAGGGTTATCTGCTTTTTGGCTGTGATCATCTGGGGTGAGTTTGATATCACAGTCTCTCATCACCCAGGTTCTGCCCATTGCATCTAGGTACGTGAGCAAAACTTTGGCCGAAGATAGTCCTATAAAGAAATCTCTTTCCTGAGTCCCCCGTGAAGAAGGGGCTGCGGAAAGCCAGGGAGAATTAATGTAATGCTCAGGCTTTACTCCGTGTCTCCTGCTGCTTCTGGTAAGGGCATCTCCCTTTGGGAAGGAAACCAAGTTTGTAAACTTGGCGCTTAGGCTTAAGAATATTTGTGATAGTCTCAAATAAATTCTTTGAGTTTAAAAGTCTTAGATTTCACAGAATCTAAACCTCTGTTTCTCACATTGGTTGGCTTTTAAATATTTTGAATCTACTTTTCTATAGAAAATCCAATAATCTCCAGATTATTTTTTTCCAAATTCATGCTTATAAAGAAAAAAGAAAGAAACAGTATTTTTTTTATTACACTTTCCTTGTTCAACAGAATAATGTTTGCATAACGTACAATTCAGTAACTATTATAAATACTCTGAGAAGGGCGTGTGTAGCTCATGCAAACCCAGTGTCTCTTTTATGTGAAAATGAATGTGTGCACCGGAGTATATGTCTGTAAGTAATTGGCATAACCATTCTTTGGCTATTATGAGGAAAATTTGTAAAAATATCTTAATTATTTTTTTTCCCCACAAGAACTACTGAAAGGATCATTTCCTATAATTTCCATACAGCAGTGATTTTTAATAGTTATATTTTAATAGCTTTTTAGCATCAATGAATGGGGACAGTTAGTTCCATAGCTGCAGTCAAAATGAAATTGAAAACTAACAGTAAAAATAAAGAAAACTCTGAAGATTATCACAGACTACAATTTGAGAACCTCTACCTAGTAAGAATTTTGTTCCTGAAACAAAATTAGGAATGTTTACAGTGTCAATGAACGTAAAGTCCCACAACATTGTGTTTAAGCAAAATAGGCATTTCCTTCTTTGGGAACACCTTGCTAAGAGCAGGGATGGAAGAATCTTTCCAAACTAGGGAATAAAACTATTTTAGGACCAACTGATAACGTGTTGGTGCCAATCCTTGTGTACAAGCTCTAGGCAATCCTGCTTTAGCAGGGGAGTTGGCCTAGATGATCTCTATGTCCCTTCCAACTCTAAAAATTCAGTGAAATTCAGTGAAATAGACTGTAGGCATGGATTGAAAGAACAGATGAGTGAAGCGATATTTAAACCTGAGTTCAGCCTCCCAGAAATACTCTCTGCCCATATTTTGTGTTTACAGCAATGGATGCATGTTACTAGGATGAGCCAAACTCACCTATTTGCATTTTTAATTGACTGCCACTTGAAATTCAATACCTGTTTTGTGTTATTTCGGTGTGTAAGTCCCTTTGACACTCTTCAGTTCCCTGATCGTGCCAAATTTCCATGTGGGTCGGGTACTATCTGCCCTCCCAGGAATGATGTGGCTCGTGGTGTACCACGAGGTGGGGTGGTCACATCTCACTCCTCCCCAGTGGCTCCTGGCACTTGCTGGCCCTCATCCCATGGATACTGGCTGTGTTCTGCAAAACAGACTGGGACCTGCCAGGAGGAAAAATTTACTTGCCTTAAGCAAGAGAGTCACCATCAGGGTTGGGCACGCATACAGTTCAGCATTTAAAACTCAGTCCGCAAGTTAATTTAACGTTGGTTTCAAGATACATATAAAATGAGAATCAAACATGATACCTTGCCTACATGTTGTGAATAAACGAATCCTTTCTAAATTGTTAAAGCATCGGTGCTTATATCAGTATTTAGGTGTGCAAGAAGCTTCTTGCATTACTAGGAGTTATCCTGTTTGATCATGGTTTCTTTTCTAATGGCCGTTTTGATTTTCAGCTCCCTCTGAAATTTCACAGTAGAAGTCACCATCATGAATAACTTTGCATCTGCTGTGTAACACATGGAGGATTTAAGTGTGCTTTGCCACTGACAACAGCCCTTTCTCTGTTTCTCTCTTTCTCTTTTCAGAATCCAGTTTTTTGTTGGGAAATGCTCAGATTGTGGACTGGCCTGTAGTTTACAGTAATGACGGTTTTTGTAAACTCTCTGGCTATCATCGAGCTGACGTCATGCAGAAGAGTAGCACTTGCAGGTATGCCGACTGTCTGTCTCTTGCCACTCAATGCCCTTTAAAATTTGCTGGGAAGAACAATGGGGTTTTGGAAGAAGGATTGATGTAAGAAAGCATTGCTTTGCAGAAATTAAAGTATTGAAACAGGCTTTAAATGAATGAAACCAGCAACTTACCCAGGACATGGCAAAGCATGTAACCATGTGAACTCGTTTAAGCACATTGTTGAGTAACTTCCAGTAAAGTCAATAGTTACTGCCACCAGGATTAACAAGCTACTCAAATACTTAATGTTAAGTCCTTTGCTAAACCTGAAGTAGTTTAGGATCCTGTAAAATTTAGTCCTAAATAAAAGAAAGCTAAAATCCAGTTGTTTAGATTTTTTTTAAATTTTATTTAGAACATCTACAACTTTAATATATTTCAGCCAAATTTGTTTTGAAAGCAAGCCAGATCTACCCAGTTTGGAAATTCCTGTTATCTTCATGTGACTGCATTGCATTGCAGGAATAAAGACTGTTTGATGGAAAAGCTTTTAAAAAGTTTTAGCAGTGAATGAGGGTAAACTACAGGTGCTCCCAAAAGAGGGGATAAATGTTATGAGGATTTAGACATTATTCTTCTCTCATTTGAAATTTATCCTGGCTAATACGAGTATGAATGTGCTCTAGCTAATGATCTAATGAAGAAAGTGGGGTTTTAGGTAATATATTTCAAAGGCTTTTTTACTAGATTTTCATTATTTCTCTTGTTACCATTCCAGGAGGCAGTGTTTTTTTAATTTTGTCGGTGGTCTTTCAGGAGCAGGCAGCTGTGATTTATGGTTAGACGTGCATCTGTGCCTTTTCTGCTGCATCCTTTAAAAGGAGATGCTTTGGAGAAAGACTAAATCCCTTGTGTGTGTGTGTGAGCAAAGTAAACCAGGGTCAGAGGCAACAAGGGATGGGTGAGTGTCCTGGGTTGGGCGACACAGGACTCGCTTCTTTTCTAATGCTGGGGAAAAGTGTGCTATTAGAAGACTCTAGTGTCTGAATTTGTGAAAATACTTACTTTATAGCCAGCTAGGCTATGTGGGATTCAAGGTCTCAGTGTTTTCAAGCCTTGCTGGGTAGAAGGACAAGGAGGAGCAAGGCCTGGGCATTGGACCCAAGCTGCCAACAGGATTATTTCATACCATGAACGTTACATTCAATATGAATTAGAAAATTTTGCTGTGTAGTTCTCTCTCCCTTGATGGCGGCGGGTCCAGACAACTGCTTCTCTGGTGCCAGACCCCTGAGCCCTTTCCTTCCTCCTGAAGCCGTTGTGCTCACAGGGTCTGACATTTGCTGTCCCTGTGGGGAGTGCACAGCTTCCGGCTGAGAGAATGGGCTGAGTATAATTCTTGTCTATCTTATATCAGTATCGGGATTAATCTTGGTTCTTTACTATTATTGTTCATTATTTAGTCTTATCATATTAAATCTATTTATATATCAACCCTTGTGTTTCCTTGCTGTCCCCAATTCCCCTCTCCAGGTGGGGAGAGGTCATTGGGTGATAGAATAATTGTCTAAATGACAATAAATGGGTTTTCTCAAACCTTAACAGTGAGGTACAAGATTGTGTAGGTTTTCCCTTCATCCACTCATGGAGTGACCGGCTCCAGGGCACTGGGAAGAGGGGGCTACATATCTACAGCAATGATTTTTTGGGAGATGAGTGCTGCCAGACACTGATCTGTGGCTGGTGCTTCAGCTGGCAGAAGCAGGGCAGGCAGCGAGCCTCTCCTCGGATGTCAGGCATCTCTTACTTCAAAAAGCATCACGTGCTGACGTGTGGTTGCTCCCCTCATCTGCAGGAAAGGGGAGGAAGCCTTGGGGCTGAAAGAAACAAACTTATCACAGCCTTCCTGGATATACATGCATGCTTTCCCCTTGGCTCTCTGCTATCCTTTATGTTGAACTGCGTAAGTTTCCTGGGAGCCAGCATTTTTATAGTCTGTGCACCTTAAAATAATTGCAGATATAGAATGGGATTGTAGGAAAATGTTGAGGAATACCTCTCTGAGAATAATTCCCCTCTCCCTCAAATACTGAGGGGACCAAAAGGTTTATTCCACTTGAGTGCTTTTTTGTGCATGTGATGGGCTCTAGTTACCATTTGTAAGGTTTTGACCACGTTCAAGTTGATCGTACAGATCTACTGAACCATACAGATGCAAATTCAAGGAGGAATTATTGTGGAAAATGGGACTGGGAGAAAAGATACATATATATATATAATGTTATCATCATTCTGTATATCTCTGGATTTTAGAGAGACCTCTCTACACTCAAAGCATGGCCAGCCCTTCTTTTGTGTCTGGGTTGTAGCTGGTGGAGTTATATATGCAGTGTGAAGTTTCCTGCTTCTTAGGAGACAACCCAGTCTTCGCAGATGAAAGGAGAGCTGGAGAGGTTTTCAGCATGGTCTGACATGCAGCATGTGGTCTTCCAGAGCAATGCCTTTGGAGCTGCTTTCTTATGAAGAGCTGTGCTAGCTGTATGGAATGGAAAATAGTCTTGAGGCCAGCGGTGCCTGCTTAGACTTACTCAGCAGAATGTCATTGTAGAGTTTTTTTTTTTTTAGATCTGGGGCCATTATTCATATTATTTACAGAGTGAGGTGCTTAGTCCACATTTGCTGTGTTAAGCCCAGATTATATAATACATAAAAATTGCTTTATATATAATGTTTGCTTTGCTATAAGGCAAGTCCTCTGGGGTAAGAGTGCTTCTGAAACCATTATTGTAGGTTTTGGAAGGGTTTGTTTTTCCAGCTTTTTAGTGCCAAAAATCCAACCAAAGGAAAATACACAGATACAAACAACGTAAATCTAGCCCCAACAGCAATTCTCATTGTTGCTGATTGTGAGTATGATAAAGGATAAAAATAATTTCTCAGTATTGGGTAAGTTTGCCCCTGCCTATAAGATACGGTGCCTTCAAATCAGCTTTCACCCATGCTTTTCTCCAGGGCAGTCTAGCGGGTATTTGCTATATCTTATTTCTGTCTGACCCACCCCATATCCTACACTGGGGCAGCTCCTACGTCATCGTTGTATTGGGTCTCAGGTGGTATTGGCTGATGGTGGTCTCAGGGAGGGGTGGATGCACTGGAGGTGTGAGTGATTATTGTTCTAGCTCAGGCAATGAGTTAGTCCCCCGACAAGCTGGTAATCCCTTTGATTTTTGCACCTCTCCCGTCCTTTCAGTTGGCAACAATATGCCCATTAGCAGGAAAATCATTTGGAAATACCTCAGGACAAATGCCAGTCTCTGTAGTTTCCCGGACAGTGTATAAAAGGCCCAGTGTACATAGGGATCAGGCTATGTGAGTATTGTGTAATGGGAATCAATGTGCGTTATTTCACTCCAAGTTGCATGTATGGCTTGAGATGAAACATAGAACAATTGGTACGAGTGCTAAAATGCATGGGATTTTTATGTGAAAGAATTTGTGTGCCTGTGGAGCATTGCTGTGCCAAATGAAAATGAGCTGACAGTCCAGGAGGGAACAGGGCATCTGCAATTGTGCCACCTCTAACCTTCAATTAACCACACAAAACCCCCTGCCTGGAGGTGCACCAACAGGGCAGCCAGCAGGCAGGAGAAACAGTTGTTTCATGCCCAGTTACCCACAGTCATTGCAATGTATGTCTTCATGAATACATTAAAAGAATAAAGAGTTATAAAACATTGGATGTGGATGTATAAAACTGTGGATGAGGAGCCCAACATGAGCTGACAATGTGCACTGGCAGCCCAGAAAGCCAACCACATCCTGGGCTGCCATCAAGCGAAGCGTGGCCAGCAGGGTGAGGGAGGTGATTCTACCCCTCTGCTCTGGTGAGATCCCATCTGGAGCACTGTGTCCAGTTCTGGAGTCCTCAGCACAGGAAGGACATGGACCTGTTGGAACAGGTCCAGTGGAGGGCCACAAAGATGCTCAGAGGGCTGGAGCCCCTCTGCTGTGAGGACATGCTGAGAGAGCTGGGGTTGTTCAGCCTGGAGAAGAGAAGGTTCTAAGAGAAGGTTTTAAATTGAAAGAGGGGAGATTTAGATTAGATACCAGAAAGAAATTCTTTGCTGTGAGGGTGGTGAAGCACTGGAACAGGTTGCCCAGAGAAGTTGTAGATTCCCCATCCCTGGAGGGGTTCAAGGCCAGGCTGGATGGGGCTTGGAGGACCTGGTCTGGTGGGAGGTGTCCCTGCCCAGGGCAGGGGGTTGGAACTTGGTGATCTTTAAGGTCCCTTCCAACTCTAACCATTCTATGATTAGACCTCAATTTAATGTTGCAAGTAATATCAGTGTTTGCTAAATATCATTGCTTGTGGGTTAAGCTCCTTACTCTTGGCAAGCCTTCAGAGGAGCAAGCACCCTTTGAGTGGCTGTTTGGTGGCCCCACCCTGGCATTTTACACTTGGCATTTTCTCCAGGCTTTGCTTTGCTTACCCTTCCTGGCACCTGAGAGCCTCACGCCGGGCTTGGAGTAGGTGGTCGCTGGTTTTGTTTTCAAAGAGGGAACCTGCTCTCAGGCCCTGTTTTGTGTGCCGCTTTCCAGCCCTGCGGGGCAGGGAATTGGATCCCCTTGCTGAAGGGGTTGTTTGCAGGTAGCTTTTCCACTGAACCGTTCGCAGCATCTCTGCTCTCCCTTGTTTTGAGTTAACTGCCATTTGAAATGGGATTAAAAAAAAATTAAAAGAGTCTGCGAGTGAAAACCTGGCTCCGGTGAAGCTAATGGCAAAATTCTCACTGTGCTCAAACAAACGGCATTTTGCATGGTGGGCGCAGTGTGCTGGAATTGAAAAGGGTTAGATTTGATGCTGGTATGTCACCTCTGTGTCTTGATTTTGTGTGTGTGTGAGAAGACCTCCTTGCACTGCCAAAGCCGTTCCAGTGGGGCCTGGGCAGCTGCACCGTTTCTCCTTAGAAATGGTACCTGCTCCTTTACTTGAAAAGTTTTTATATCTCTATTCGCTGCTTCTCCTGGGTAGATAGAACCACAGAATGGTCAGAGTTGGAAGGGACCTTAAAAATCATCGAGTTCCAACCCCCCTGCCCCGGGCAGGGACACCTCGCACCAGACCAGGTTGCTCCAAGCCCTATCCAGCCTGGCCTTGAACCCCTCCAGGGATGGAGCAGCCACAACTTCACTGGGCAACCTGTTCCAGTGTCTCACCACCCTCACAGCAAAGAATTCCTTCGCAATATCTAATCTAAGTCTCCCCTCTTCCGATTTAAAACCGTTACCTGTTGTCCTGTTGAATGTTTCCCTGTTGAAATTGATGCCTTTTCATTCAACGCTTTTGGGTGAGGAGAGCTGTAAATTGGATGCAGGATCATACTCCTTTTGTGCTTCACCTCTCCTGGATCCCGGGTAATTCCTCAAGAACAGCTCTTAAATACCGCCCTTCCATGCACTGCAGACCTGGAGCTGGTCTGATGCTGCTGCTCTGGATCCTGGCAAAGGACAGAAGAGCACGATACAAAGCTTCAGATGTGTCGTTTCTGTGCCAAGGGATGCTTTCAAAGGCAGGCAGGAGTCCAGGCTTCTTAAATGACAAGTGGCTAGTTTCAGAGGTGGGGAAATTATCTGAGATTGTGCCTTTGTCTGAGCATTTCAGTAAGTCTTGTTTCTCTTTGATAAGTCTGTTTTCTAGCTAGTAAGATCCCCAGTAGCAGGGTGTTTTTGATATTTATGTCTTGTACAGTTTGCACTGAAGGCACTTGACAAGCACTAAATAACAAAAAACATGAGGCAGAAAAAGACAGAGTGATTGACTGAAGAAGTAGGAGTCCCTCCATGTATACAAAAGAGGATAGACTAAATTAAATTAAACCTGTGATAAGCGAAGATCTTATATAACTTAGACATTGAGTAGCTTTGAGGTTTCTTAGCTGCTGTTAAAAATCGCCTTGTGAAAAATGTTTTTATTATTCCATAGGCTCTTTAAAATGTTTCTTTATATGTGAAAATAATGTAAGATTTGAGCACTACAGGCTTACTACAATAATAAGCTGCCTTTAATTTAAAACATAAAGTTGATTGATTTTATTCAGCAGTGCTAACTGGTGTTGTCCACCAGAATGCCAATGATTTTTCATGTTAATGCTAATTAATGATGACTTTCTGTATTATAAGGCACGTAAAGTCAAGCACTTCAACAAGTTTCTGTTATGTTTTCCTTGAGTACTAAGAGAAACATTGTTTTAAATCTCAAGAAAACAACAAAACAAAGGGAATTCAGTTGCACAACAGGCTGTGTGAAAACTAACCAGCTCTTATTTTGTCTTGCAAATAGGAGAGCAATCTGCTTTACTTCATCAGTGCATTTAAAAAGGCATAGATTAAAGAAAAAAAAAACCAAACTCTTTTTGTTGTCATCTCATGTATAAAGGTATCAAAGGTTATCAGCTGAACTCGGGAAAGAAAGGCAGGTCATTTGGAAATGAGCAGTAGGCTGTGTTTTGCATTTCCTAAAGAGGGATGTGTGTGTTAATGATAAGCAGTACCTTAATGAAGCCTTGTGCTCTGGTAAAACCATTTCCTGACTTCGGCTGCCGTAGTGGTGTCTCCATAATATTGCTCTCCCAAAAGTAACAGTTCTGCCATGTCATTTATCAATAGCTCTCCCTGTGTTACCGGTGAAGAAGCACCTGTAGTGACATACAGATGTTGTAGGTGCTCTGATGCCCTGTGTCTGCCTACATCACCTCATTTGGGGAGCAGCCCCATCACCTCCCTTGCTTGAGTGTGTAAAGAGAAGATTCATGGTCTGGCCTTCATTGAGTATTTTAATGCTTGCCGAGTCACTGACCACTCTCCTGTTTTATTGTTTCTTTCAGAACAGCAGGCATAAAATAAATGTTTATTGAACCTTTGAAGGCCTGTTGATCAATAAAAGAGAAGCTGCATTGAAACCACAGAGGCACTGATAGCTTTTCTTTTCTCTTTCATATTCTCACGGTTGTCTGTTGGAGGTTTTGCTGAAGCTGAAACTCTTTGTGAACAAAGAAAATGGAGGGGGGGGGGAAGGTCTGATCAATTAAAAGTATATTAATCCAAGCGTCTGAAAGCTTTTATCCCATATTCCATTTTCCTTCAGTTCTGTTACTGGGAATTTGCACAGAGTGGTCTTTGCTTATTTTTAATCCAGGGAAGAATGACAATAAAAGCCTGGCTGTTTCCTTACAAAGGCTTTCAAAAGTTAGGTCAGGGGGCTGGGTTTGCTTACACCAGCTGAAAGTCTGACCTGGAAAAGAATGCGAGGATGAGATGGTCAAGTGGAAAGAAATAGCAGAGTTTAAATTATATTTTTATATTCTCGGTCTGGAGAGGGATGAGTCTCCAAAAGCATTTTAATGTTTTCCGTATTTTCACTGAAATATTAAAGAAATGCAGTATACAATAAAGAAAATGAGGGTGAATTTGGTTATGTTTGGTAGCAGTGCAGACGTAGCTATACTGACACGACTCGTACCCTTGCTTTCTGTACTGCATTTTCAGAGCATTACAGTTATCGCTTCTTACTGGTTAAATGCTCCCTCATTTTGTAATACTGTATTTAATAAAAGGATTCCAATTATCTTATTGTCCCCGATGCATCTTGACAAGATTAAATCCGTAATCATTGATTCAGCCAACAGCCTTTACCTGTAGTAGCTTTGATTGCTCCTCTAGAAGCCTTTTCAAGAGGATTGGACAAAATTTGTGAGGTTTTAGAGGTTTTGTTGAGTTTTCTCTGTTTTGACAGCAATATTCTCATGGCCTGCAGCTGTGGCAATAGTGGTTGTATTGGCTATCAGCTCTTTTTCTACAGGCTACCAGCCATTTTTCTAACCCTTAAAGATATGCTCAGAAAAGCACTTAAGTCAAACATTACAGTAGATTTATTTGCTGTCATTTACAGTAAAATGGTGGTCATTGTTACTCACTATTGTAGGTTTCCTTGTGACACTCTAAATATATAAATGAAGTGTAAATCATAATTAAACTTTGGTAAATGACAGTTAATGGCATCTCCAATGCTCATGCGGTTTAAGGTGACTGTAATGAAGTTGCTGCTTGTCTAGAAAAAAAGAGAAACTTTTTTTTTCTTTTACAGTTTTATGTATGGTGAACTGACAGACAAGAAAACCATTGAAAAAGTCAGACAGACTTTTGACAACTATGAGTCAAACTGCTTTGAAATTCTCCTCTACAAGAAAAACAGTATGTATATATTTGTATATGGTGTTGGGAGTGATAATGCATATTTAAAGTATATAATAGACTAAAATAAATTTTCATTTTGACATATGGGTAAATTTGGGGCAAGATTTGGAGAAGGAATGGGTATTTTGATCACCACATCTCAAGAAAAGAGCTCTTTTTTCAGGACAAGTGTTCGGATTGCCAAGAATAGTTGTTCCCTGCTGTCTCTAGCCTAACTACTCCTTTCCAAAATATATTTAGTTTTGAGGATTGTTTCCCTGAAGAGAAACTGACTGGGTTAAGTGAGAAGAAATCCTGGATGGGGTTCCCCCACACCCCCCAGGAAACACCTCCATGTCTCTACAAGTGAGAACCCAGACTCTGGTTGCCATGAGTGGATGCTCCCAGCAGTGCCTCTGGGGTGTGTAAACCAACATGTATGAGCTCTAGTGAGAGTACTAAATTTTTTGCATAATCCAGGGCTTAATTAGAAAACCAGGGAATTTTGTAATTTAATGAGATGTAGGACCTAAGTCCCTTCCTCTTGGTGGCATTGGTTTTACAGGAGGTTGCCAGGCCTAGGGAAGTTTTTTCTTCAGTTTGGCTTAACCATGAGTCACGCCAGTCGCATTTTCTGTCCTGCCATGTGTGGGGACACCTACTAAGCAAAACACATGCTGTTGTGGGGTTTCATGCTTGTGCAGTGTGGACATCTCTCCTGGGCTGGTGGTTGAAATTCTTGTTGTTGTCAGTGGAGATGAGAAGCCTCCTTCACTGACACAGGCCGTCTTCCCAAGGCAGAGAGCCAAAACTGGCAGGTGAAACGTGCTCCAGAAAAGCTGGTTTCTCTACACAAAGCAGAACTAGTCTAGTTGGCTGAGCTGGGGCCATGTCACACACAAGCCAAGAGCAATCTTGATGGAGATACTTCCTTCAGTTTGGCTTTCCTTGTCCAGTAAAGGATGCAGCTCGTGTGGGGTCAGGGAACTTTACTCCTGCTTCAGCTCCCTGGAGCCCAGCAGTTGAGGCCACGTTGCCCCGCAGGTGGACTTCAGTGCTGGCATGGAGCACCTTGCTGGCGTGAGGACAGAGGTTTCCTCTGCATGTCGTGGCTGAAGGAAGGTAATGGTGTGCCTTAAGAAAGAGCTAACTGTGCCTGACTGCCCCATTTCTCTGCAAACTTACATAAACCTTTCATGACATTGAAGAGAGCATCCTGGATACCTCGTCTTCTGGAAACAAACTCACATGCTTTATGCTTTAGTTCCACTTTCCTTTTTTAGACTAAATATTCCTCTATGCACTTAAACAGTGTCTTTAGATTTCTCCAGTTCTGCCTCCTTCAAAGCATTTTAACTTTAATTACAAAGAGAAGCAAGAGTGGCTGTGAAATGCGGCTGTTTCTGCACGTGCCTAGGAGAGCCCTCCAAGTGACCTCTTTTCAGTTCCTCAGCATACTGATGTGTCTGTTCTCTAGATTTTTTTGCTTCTCTGCCCGTTTCCTGTGCAGGTCACCTGGATGTCCCCTCACACTAGGGGAATTTCCCAGGAGAGACTTGTGTTGGGTATCTTTGCAGGTGGTGGTGTCCAGCACTGCCGTGCCCTGCGTCCATGTCATTTCTGAAGACAATCCCAGAAACCCAGTACTCTCCCTGACCCTGGCTTCTCTTATTAATTGGGCTGGCAGCTCCTGCTGTAGCATGGGCCAGTCCTGAACTAAATACTTTTCTATTTTATTCAAGTATAAAAGGAGGAAAACCTTCTCTTGGTGACTTTTCTGTAACAAGCCAGTCTCTTTTTGCTTTGGGTTGTGGATTGCCTGCTGGAACTTGATGATGCTTCAGAGATTTATTGAGCTACAGTTGCATTAATAAAAATCTTCACCCTTGCTCAGATCTCCAAGACTATACTTTCAATAAGTTATGCAGTATTACAGAAGGACTTTATGGAGAATTCCTCATACTTCTTTTCAGATTTGAGTCAGTTCCTATCCATAACATCTGTTCTCAGCTTCCTTCTCCATCACCCGAAGCCCAGAACTTCAACCTCTTGCTAAGACTTATAGCCTCACCTTTTGGTTCCAGTTCAGCATCTGGTTTGCCTAGGATTTGCTTCCATTTGTCATACTCTGAGCCTTGCAAAAGAAGGTTCTTCAAGAAACTGCCTGCTTATCTGTCTTACTCTTCAGGCCGAATATTGGAGCAGATAAAGAAATAAAGAATAGTATCTGATGGTGTGAATGAACACACTTCTTCATATCCATATATACGAATTTACTTCTGCAAAATGTAGACTGCTCTTCTGTGGAAGGGCTTATCACCTGCAGAAACCTTGCCTATTGCTTCTCTCCTGCATGGAACTTACTGTGCTCTCAGAGCAGCACCCTCCTGCCCGCATTTTTGAATTGTAGGTCCTGAGGTGCCTTGTATTTTTGATTCTGCAGCACAACTTTTTCTCACCCATTCCTTCATTCTTCTGGCAGAGGGTGATTTTGAGATTTTTGTTCAGCATCTGGTTTGCCTAGGATTTGCTTCCATTTGTCATACTCTGAGCCTTGCAAAAGAAGGTTCTTCAAGAAACTGCCTGCTTATCTGTCTTACTCTTCAGGCCGAATATTGGAGCTGATAAAGAAATACAGAATAGTATCTGATGGTGTAAATGAATACACTTCTTCATATCCATATATACGAATTTACTTCTGCAAAATGTAGACTGCTCTTCTGTGGAAGGGCTTATCACCTGCAGAAACCTTGCCTATTGCTTCTCTCCTGCATGGAACTTACTGTGCTCTCAGAGCAGCACCCTCCTGCCCGCATTTTTGAATTGTAGGTCCTGAGGTGCCTTGTATTTTTGATTCTGCAGCACAACTTTTTCTCACCCATTCCTTCATTCTTCAGGCAGAGGGAGATTTAGAGATTTTTCAGGTGGCTTTCCCATCCTTCTTTCCTTCAGTGCAGAAATGATCTTTAAGAGCTGATGTTTTCTGGCAGCATCCACTCGACTGCTAACTTTGCATGCCCCCTTGGCATTGTAACCCAGCCAGGGTTAACTAGCAGGTCTCAGGTTCAGGCCCAAAAGTTTCCTACAACTTTCTTCTACTTTACTGCATTCGCTCACATGCGGTCCTCAGCTCTACCCACCTAAATATTTAGCCACCATGTTAGGCATGTATGTAAATAGACTTATATATGCATATATGTGTGTATATATACATACACCTATATATGGTAATACTCAGGAAACCTCTTTGCCTGCTTTTGCCCAGATTGCTGCTTCTACAGCAGTAGCTACCTTGTCTGTGTCTTTGATTTTTATCAGTGCTGTTGTACAGGTTATTCTGCCTACTTATTTCCAGAGTTTTACAAAGGGTGCCGGTGAGTTGCCAGGTATAAGTGCAAGTACAGTATTACCCCAGAGAGCTGCAGCTCTGTTCTAGAAGTTATGAAAAGAGTCTTTTGTCTTGGGTTGGCAACCGGGAATTGAGATAATTCCAAAGCCATTATGCCGATTACTTGGTTATCAGAAAAAGCAGTCCCCCATCTCTCCCACTTCTGAAGTTTACTGCTATTGAGTTACTGGTTTAATCCCAGTTCAGCAATGCTGAATTTTGTCGTGAACCCTTGTGGATTGTAACCTTCCCCAGAGTAGTCCTAGTCCAAATGGGTTTCGTTGCCCTCTGGGCATCTATCCTGGCACAGCTCCCAGATGGGGTGCATTAGAGGAGATCTGGGGGGTGGGGGGGGCAGTGATGCCCGTGGGATACAGAGGGCCAGCAGCTTGTTTCAGTGTGTCAGCGCTCAGGCTGGCATTCAAGCAGCTCAGGAGAAAAGGCATTATGTCATCTGGCTGAAAGCACATTAAAATCCCAAAGGTAATTAGCTGGCTGTGAAGGCATTTGTAGCGCAGCGTGTGTGTGGGTGCAAGTTTGGGCGGGAGGGGACGCAGCCGTGGGACTTTGCTGGGTGGAAGGCATCTCTGATGCTCACGGCCCTGCCAGTGAACTTTCTGAGCAAATTGCTTAAAATCTTCTAGGATTTTGCCTCTTCCAGAGCAGGCTTGCATGTACTTAAGGGAGTGCCATGTGTGTTTCAGCCTGGGAGGAAACAAGACAGTTTCGAGCTCCTGCAGGAGCCCCGTGTGAGGACTTACTAAAAGCCACGCTAACAACTCCAACACTGCAGACATTTTTTAGCAGTTTATTTGACAAGTGGTCGGATTTGAAAAATATTTTGTATTTCTTTCAAAAGCTAAGTAGAGATAATTGCATTGGAAGAGTGTTCCACTGGGCAGGACAACGGGGGAGGTGGAGGGTATGACTTGAAACACAAAAAGGAAATAAAATTTTCCTGATCTGCCCTGATAGGACACTTAGACTCTGTCTGGATTAGTTGAGGTCCTCTTAAATAATGGAGTAGGATAAAAATTGGAGCACCAGTTTTGGATTTGATAGCTCCATATTATGTAAAGAAGGATTCAAAGATACCATCCATCCATTTTTTCTTACCTTCCTGCTGACGCTAAGTTTGTGAGACATCTGGGGAAAAACCCGTTCCACTGGGCAGGACAACGGGGGAGGTGGAGGGTATGACTTGAAACACAAAAAGGAAATAAAATTTTCCTGATCTGCCCTGATAGGACACTTAGACTCTGTCTGGATTAGTTGAGGTCCTCTTAAATAATGGAGTAGGATAAAAATTGGAGCACCAGTTTTGGATTTGATAGCTCCATATTATGTAAAGAAGGATTCAAAGATACCATTCATCCATTTTTTTCTTACCTTCCTACCCTGCCGACGCTAAGTTTGTGAGACATGCTGGGAAAAACCAAGAGCAAGAAGGGAAGAGTAATGTATTTTTGAATGGAGATTAGTAAAGCCTCCTGTCTCGGCTTATCAACCAATTAAATTGGTAGCATTTCTCCATTTTAATGAATCTGGAAAAATGGGAATACGTTGTTTTCCTTTGGGGAGGTAAAACTAAAAGATCTGGAAGACATAGAAGTATGTAGATATGGTCCTCAACTACATGTGTGTTATAATAACATATAAATGATGAAATATTCTGTGTATGGGCTGGGGAAAGTTTGTGCTACGACACAGTCCAATGTCACCTTTTTCTTTGCTTCAGGAACCCCAGTTTGGTTCTACATGCAAATTGCACCTATAAGAAATGAGCATGAAAAAGTGGTTTTGTTCCTCTGCACTTTTAAGGATATCACTTTGTTCAAACAACCAATAGAAGATGATTCAACAAAAGGTAAATATGAAATGCACTATTATTTTTTGTAAATGATAAAATACAGGTTTGAGCTAAGCCCTGTGAAAGGAACATGTCATGGTTGTGATCTGTGTCTTGAATTCAGGAAATGTTTTGTGACCTGTCAGAGTTTCAGTGCCACTCTCCTAAATTACTGCTTAAAAAGAAAAGATAAATCACTAGGAGTGATACTGCTTAAAAAGAAAAGATAAATCACTAGTAGTGGAAATTCCCTAACAACATTTTGCCAGTCACAAGCCTTCCTTTCTCTTTGTAATTTCACTACTACTTCACTACAGCTGGTGTTTGCTAAAAACTACATAGATTTGGGTCATTTTAACGCTGTCTTGTTTTGGGGGGGGGCATAATTACTGCTTAAAAAGAAAAGATAAATCACTAGTAGTGGAAATTCCCTAACAACATTTTGCCAGTCACAAGCCTTCCTTTCTCTTTGTAATTTCACTACTACTTCACTACAGCTGGTGTTTGCTAAAAACTACATAGATTTGAGTCATTTTAACGCTGTCTTAGGGCAGTTCTCCTAAGGAACTGGTATCTTCTTTTCAGAAAAAAATAATTTCAGCTCCTTTGTGCTGAGATGTTGATATTTCCTTCTTTCCTCACTCTTGGAGATGATATGCAAAAGAAACAGCCCGTTTGGGTCCTTTATGAGTGGCTAGCAATGATGGGTGGCAGTGGGTGCTGTCCTTGTTATTTAACAGCTGCTGGTGGTGGTGTTTGTGGAGATATGCCGTGCTCTCATCACCTAACAACCCATGGCCAGACCCACAGCCTTGCACAAGACAGAACTGGTGGGGAAAGGTGCAGAGGATCTAGCAGCGTTCTCCGCTTTGGTTATAAGACACGTGTGTCTTGTGTCAGGTTCACATGTGTATTGCTTTGGGTAAAATAATGCACTTAAATGCCCTTCTGTATATATGCGACAGCATCCACATCCCATCTTCTTTTGGAGGTTGCCCTCTGATGATTAATTCCTTGCTCTATTTTTCTCTTCGTGCTTGGAGAAGGCTTTATTTCTCACCTAGGGCCTTGTGTGCTCTAAGCCAACTTCTTCAGAATAACTGGTGCCATTTGAATGCAAGCAGGATTTAAACTAATTTCTTATGATCTAGAAAACACTTATTTACATGAGTTTGGATAACTGAAAAGTAGATTTGTAAAAGCAGACTTAAAATAAAACAAAAAGCCTCTCTTTGGGCTAACACCAAGTATGAGGATTTTTCTGTCTAGAGAATATTATCCATAAAATTATAAGGTCCTGATACACTAATATCTTCTCAGCCATCATAAGCTTTATTGCTTCTACGTTTTAGTTAGCAACCTGAAAATGTTCCTTTATTTCATTTTTCAGCTCCACAAGGTGGAATTCTTCTGCCTGGAAATAAAGTGAATTTTTTAAGATAAATGCTAGTTAATTGAAAAGACTTTAATGGTAGCAGTTGGAAGGCATGGGACTGGCTCTTTGCTGCAATGCATATAATATGTAGTGGGAGCTCATCACGGAAAAAGCCAGTCTTTGCAAGGATCCTCTTGTAGGATTTCCTATTTGATGCTTTCTTGGGGGACCAAGATGTATTTATCTCACATAAATACAATCTCAACAATCCTTAACTCCCCCCTTTCACTGGCTCTGCCCCACTTTCTGCAGTATTTCCTTGCACTGAAGAGTGGGTGGCTGCAGCAGGACAGGGAAAACGCGTTGAAGGTGGCTCCCAAATGCAGAAATAATGAAATGTTGCCTCCTTTGGATTTGCAGCCTGGGAGATGAGTACTCTGTTGCCTTCCCTGGAGAGGCAAGGATGTGCTGGGGTGGCTGAGCTCTCCCCCTCCCTTGTCGTGTGGCTGAGGGGGAGCAGAACGCATTAGGCATCCATTATAGGAACAATATATATGTTCCTATGGGAAAGAGCAGTAGCTGCGAAGTGCGCAACTTGTGTACTGCTGTTCTCCAGTGAAGGGTACCATTAGTTAAAATGCCAGGTATTAACTATGAACGTTACAAAATGTTGTCGTCAGCAGCCAGAGAGGTTTGACTGCATATTTAAAGAGCACTTACTCTATCAAAGCCGTACTTAAAACAAAACACAACACTGCAGAAGGCAGTTAAGTCACATCTCTCAAGTGCCTTTAAGGCATATGATAGGAGTCTTAAGAAATTGCTCAGGGTGCTTTGATTAGAGGATTGATACAAATTGATAAATATATTCAGCAAGCTCCATCATTACAAACCACTGACCTGATTTTTTTTCTTCTCCTTTTGCGTAAATTGGAGCTCACCTTTTATATTCTTCATATATATATATATATAAAAAATCATACTCAAATATTTGCACCATTTTACTTACAAGGATGGGAAAGCAGCACTGTTGCATGACCCTCTGTGTATCAGCTGTTGGATCTCTGAGATCCCACAGCACCGGGATCAGTATTGTTTTGTCAGACGTAGTGCTATGAGAGATGCATAATTCATTGTCCTTGCAGATAACATTACAACGTGCTTAGAAGCTGCCTGGCCACTTTCTTTTTGAATTATGAGATTAGTAAACATATACATTACAATTTAGTGGGGAATTTTGAAACTTTTGTAAAAAGCATTTCAGTAAAATACGGCTGTTGAGTGCTGGGATTTGTCATTGAAAGGGCTATTTTTTTTTTCTTTTTAAAAGAATGATTTTTCTTCAGGAATTCTGCCAGGACCATGCAATACATAATACATAAGTAACTATGGTGCAGATGAGTTACTGTCTATTACTTATGGGAGCAGTAAATTCGAAATAAAAAATTCATCAGAAATAAAATATTGATGTCATTATGCAATAATCTTTCCGTACTGATATATTCTGGACTGTTTGAAGGTATGTTGCTGTGCTGCGAAGCTTCAGTATATCACAGTCCTATGAGGTACAAGAATTTGGTTGTATCTACGCTGCAGGGTGTCTGTGTGTCCTGCTCCTGGAAAGAAATGCTTGGCGTTGCCAGATCCACTTGCAGTGGCTGCGATGTGATTGGCACCTTGTGCAGACCTTGCATGAGCAGCTGCGTTTTCACAGAATCATGGAATTGTCAGAGTTGGAAGGGACCTCTAGAGACCATCCAGTCCAACTCCCCTGCCAAAGCAGGGTTGCCCAGAGCACATCACTCAGGAGCATCCAGGTGGGGCTTGAAGATCTCCAGAGAAGGGGACTCCACACCCTCCCTGGGCAGCCTCTGCCAGGGCTCTGCCACCCTCACCCCAAACAAGTTCTTCCTCAGATTGGAGTGGAACTTCCCATGTTCCAGCTTGTGCCCGTTGCCCCTCGTCCTGTCACTGGGAACCGCTGGAAAGAGTCCAGCTCCATTCTCCCTCAACCCACCCTTTAGATCCTTGGAAGCATGAATAAGGTCTCCCCTCAGCCTTCTCTTCTCCAGGCTAGAGAGTCCCAGCTCTCTCAGCCTTTCCTCATCAGGGAGATGCTCCAGCCCCTCCATCACCTTTGTTGCCCTACGCTGGACTCTCTCCAGCAGTTCCCTGTCTCTCTTGAACTGGGGAGCCCAGAACTGGAGGCAGGATTCCAGTTGTGGCCTCCCCAGTGCAGAGCAGAGGGGGAGAACGACCTCCGTCCATCTCCTGGCCACACTCTTTCCTACACAGCCCAGGATGCCATGGTCCCTCAGCCATGAGGATGCAGAACTGCTCTGAAGTGTTGAGGAGCTTGTTGCATCCAGGAGCAGAGGAGGTACAAATAAAACAAAATTGTTGTCTTGCTACAAAGACATTGCAAGGGAGAGTTGGGGGGTTGTTTTGTCGGGTATAGGCTCAAAACCATGCTTGTTTACAGGCTCGGCACAAAAAAAAAAATGATAGAGTTGGCATCACGGGGACTAGCCCCGTGCGAGCGAGGGGAGTTAGAGAGGTCTGGAGCACTGCGGCAGATGGTGCAGCTCTCTGTTACCTGTGTGCTCACCGCTGGCGGCGTGTGAGGAGGAGGAGGAGGGGGACTTGCTTGCGGGAGGGAGTAAAAGTAATGAAAAATTTTCCCGGGTCACCCAGGAGACTGTGAATTTGTCGCAGTCCAGAAAGCTGTTGAAACTTACTGGGCTGAAAGCAAGACTGGAAAAAAAGGGATATTTAAAAGCTACCTTCCTCTAATAAAATATAGTGACAGAGATCAAAACCCTTGTTTTCTGAGAGTTCGACACTAAGGATTTGACTTGTTTTCTTGTTACCCGTGCTGGTGTCTGTTATCGCTGAGTGATGCGCAGGAGACCTGCGGTGTATAACAGTGTGACAATGGCCAAAAAGTACTGTTGTATCCTTGTAAATGGAAAATTACTTGCAAAGTGTCTAAGCATTGCAAAGGTAGAACAAAATCCCCAGCATCTCAAGTAGAAGCAGTGAAGATGGTAATGGAAGGAAACATCAGCCACCTGGTTGACGTGTTCACTCCCGGGTGAAGATGCCACCGGCGATTGTGCAAGTCTGGAGAATAGGGAGAACGCTCTCCCTTGACTTGGTTTAGGGTTTCTAGTGCCCCAGCTCCTAAGTCAGTGGCTGGATGAGCTGTGTGTGGTGGCAGCGTGGAAGAAGAGGCTGTGATAGAATTAGTGATAGAGCAGGAAACGTTGCAGGAGATGATGGCCACGCTTGGTGGTCACTGGGACAATGTCTGATTTTCTAGTGCCATATTTCTAATCCTTATTTATCCATAGCTGTGCTTTGTTTGTCTAGTCTCTGTTTCTTTCCTTCTCCTGCTCCCCTTTGGTAATACAAACATTTGCCTTATCTGGATTTAGTACCAAGCAATAGGTCCTACCTGTGGTGGTGGAGGGTCAGATCTCCAGGTGTCCTGGCTGCATGCCTTACACAGCAGAGGTGGAAGGGCCTTACAAGCATATAAAAGATTGTATTATGTATTTTCTTCCAGAGAATAAAACCCAAAGTATCTTTTTTTTTTTTTTTTAATGTTTGTACCATTGTAGGGTCACAGTTGGATGCTTTT